TACAGTTTATTTACGCCGAAAAGCCAATTTTTGTAATTACAACTAATTTTGATGTTTTCTATTACACATATAGACATCAGTATAAGAGATAGGCATTTCAAGGAGAAGTACTTTTCAATGTCTGAATATTCTTCAAAAATTCACAAACTCACACACCAACAGAGACCGGTCGATCTTTCAATAGAAGTTGTGAATTATTTCAACTTACGACTGGTTATATGGCTGAAAAACTATCTAATAAAACAAAGGCTTTGAACATGCACACGTTTTAATGCTGCAGCTAATTTTGACTGCTGGTTGTGTTTGATTTTCTTCATTTTCACTATTCCAGAGTATCAATCTGAACTAGTTTACACATAATCATGAAGTTCCGTTGTGATTTGGTACTATATAAATAAACTGAATTGAAATGAATTAAAGTTGCAGTTCTCCTGTAACCATGGTTTCAGCTTGTATTCCTTTTAAAATAAAACTAAGATGGCTGAAAAATAACTTTTTCAAATTTGTAACTTCTGTTATTTTAACTTCTAGATTCCTGTCCTGTGTCTGGTTAAAACATATGTCAATGGTTGAAATTACTGAAGCGTCCTGTCTGGATGGTCACGTGTTGATTAGGATCCAACTTAGTACATTATACTGCTACTTCATGGTACTTTTAGGAGAGCGTTACTACCAGGTGCTGGTAAAAAATAAAATGTTAAAAAGCTGCTTCCCATTAATTATTTGATTTTTTTATTATTCAACGACTACCAACATTGGAAATCCCTGCCCATCATGCACTGCAATAACTTGAATGTCTGAGATGTTTGTAGAAGTACTAGTCGACCAAATCTCTATAAGAAATGTTAAATTTTCGTGCTGCACCAATAGGTGGTGATTTTGAATATCAAACAGTACTTTCAAATGCAAAGCAGCAATTTTTTTTAAATAATTGTTTTGTAGTTAGATTTGCTTTCATTCATTAACTCCCATTTAAAGTTTAATGATAACAGAGCCTAAATACAGCATGCCAGAAGTTTTGAAAAAACTGTAAAAATGGCTTTATTGTTGTGGTTTCTAACGCAGAAGTATTAGCATTAGCAATAGTATTAGCATGTGTAAAGTAAGTAACTAAGTAAACATTATTTATATAGCACCTTTTGTAGATAAAATCACATTACAGAAATACAGAATACAGGCTTAAAATAAAACTAAAACAGTAAGAACAGCTGATAAAACAGTAAGATAGTAACTGTGCTATGACATCACTTCTCAAACGCTCAGATTGTCAAGACATGGACATCAAAATTAATTTTTTTGTTTTTCAAAGGACTTTTATCTCCCCCAAGTATTTTTTTCCCACAAAAAACAGTTTATATAGGTAAAAAGTGCAAAAGTCCATTTTTCAAAACATCTGTATTAATGTGGACAGAGCCCGAGGTAAATGTCAGAACAACATCCAGGCTATCAAGTCCGATGAAGTCTTTATAGAGCTCTGTGGTAAAGCTGCAGTGAAGCATAGATCAGGCCAGGGGTGTAAAACCATTTCTAAACCTCTGAGTGCTCCCAGGAGCACAATGACCTCAGTGATTGTGAAATGGAAGAAGTGTGAAAACATTAGGACTCCTCCTTGGTTTGGCTGTCCAATAAAGCTGAGCGAATGGGGTCTTCGGCGATGGTCACTCTAACAGAGCTTCAGAAGTCATTTACAGAGATGTGCGAACATGCTGCAAAGATCCCAGCTGTAATACATCAATCAGGATAGTAAAGCAGCTGTTCTGAGAAAACCACACACGAGAGCCAACCTTGTTTTGTCAAGCAACATTGAAAAGCAGCATGAAAAGTATATTCAGATCTATTGAGATTTAAACATGGAGTCATGTGTCAATATCTGGTTGTCACTATTTGTTCAAATAACCGCTTTGTCTTGAAAATGTGTACTTTGTAAACGGATTATTTTCCCTATAATAATAAAGGAAATTCAAATAAATCATTCCAACCCTCTATCATCTCTCTAAAAAGTGCTTACCACAATAAAACAGTAATTTTCAGAGTAACAGAGGCACAGTTCTTGTCTAATGGCTAAATATGAGTGGTGACTTTCAAATGTTTGAAGTCCAGTTAAAATTTTCAAAAAAAAAAAAAAAATGAATCCAACAGTCAAAGCCTTTTTTATTCACACCGGCATCTGATAGTGGTGCTTTTACAGTTGGGGCGCTTTCTTGAACCCTCTTTCCAAGAAAAACATGGCAATTTGAATTGTCCCCACGTCTCTTGCGTCCATCGCAGTTTATTTTGAAAGGATTACAAAGCGGAAACTATGGTCATGGGTAAGCATAAATTCACATGCATCCCCCTCCATAATGACCAAATGGACTGTTCAAAATTAAGAAATACAAACATTACTGGCTAGCAGAATTAACAGCAGCACACGTCTATACCAAAGCCTCTGTTTCATTAGTGTTTCATTAGCCTCTGTTTCATTTCATGACGCAGGCCACCTGCATCATGAAGGACCCCACCCACCCAGCACACACACTTTTTGCCCCACTCCCCTCAGGAAGGAGGTTAAGGAGCATTAAGTGTAGAACCACTAGACTGAGGAACAGCTTCTACCCTGAGGCTGTTAGACTCATGAATATCTGACTAGAATAATCACTGTGAAAAACCATATCATGTTGCTGCTGATCTGTTTCATGTTGCTGCTGATCTGTTTCAATGTTGATGTGTTCATACGTGCACATCTGCTCACAGACTCATGTTCATGTTTGTGCTGATGTTCAATGTTTTATGTTATGAGTGCTTAGTGTATATTTAGTTGATGTTTTTCTTAGTTCATATCTTAGATGTTATTACTGTTTTTCTTAGACATTTTATTGTTGGATGTAACTGGGACCCCGTGTACATAATTTCGCTCCACCACATGTACCACATGAGGTGCGAATGACAATAAAGAAACTCTGACTCTGACTCTGACTCTGATTAGAGTGGTTCTCAGCTGCAGGACCAGTTGAGTAAACCTGAATATACCGCCGTATGGACAATGTTGTTGTTTTTTAGGACACAGATCAGACAACTGTCATAAATAATAAAGCATCAGCTGAGATTAGCACACATAAAGACTGCTTTCCCTGCTTTTAGACAGTTTGTTATTGTCCTGACACAGTATGTTAATTAAACTTGTATGAGTAAAGAACCAAAACAGCTCACGTTGCGAGCAACATGAGTTGCTTCAAGGGTCTTATGTTTAGAGCTGTAGATGGAGGGATAGACCAGATAGACCACAAATATGGACAAAGTCAATGAGCGGTTTGCTTGAAATACCCATCGCTATTAAGAACATCACCAAAAGTATCAAACAGTGGAAACAAAACAATATGAAATAATGGCAAATAACACTTTCTTTAAAACAGCCAACTCTTTAAGAAAATGCTGCTGGCACAGGAGAGTTAGAGGAGGTGGAAGAAGTTAGTGTTTGGAAGGAGAATCACCTTCAGTCGTGACATTTCTGCATTCAGCAGGAATGCATACTCCTTCTCTGAAGTTTAGCACCGGAGGTAGTTGACACAACCACACACATTTTGGCAACTCCTGTAGCGTTCTTATGGCTTTTTTTGCAGGTCTGGCATCACAAGAGATTGGTTCATAGACATTTGGTTCTGCCTGCATTTTCAAAATGTGCCACAGCATTGTGAATGTACAGATTTTTACTGCGAGAGTGAACAACTTGGTTTGGTTTCACTTTCCTCCAACACTCCTTGATGGCACTAGAAGTGAGCACCTCCATGTACACAGTTGAATGCACAATCAGTCACCCAGTGAGGTGCACAGTGTCGTGGTTTGCGTACTGAGTTGGCCTATTTGTAGGTAGCAGAAAAATATGTTTAGGTACAATCTGAACACTTTTTGTTTTTCAAAATAATTGTGTTCAACTAAATTTCTATTGGTAGGGTTGACTGTATTTTGATGGTGGTGTAAGGAGCAACCTTTCAGCAAGATTGACCTAATCAGTGTCTTACATACCTGCAAACTTGTCGCTTTTCTGCGAAATTTGCCTATTTTAAGCAAAAATATGTAATTTACGTTAATCATCTAAATCCAAAGAGTTTGTTTTTCAGGGTGGTGTGTGTGTGGGGGGGAGGGGTTCAGAGACATGGTAGATGGCATTATTTCCCATTGACTGGACTTACATAGCGCTAAGCTAGCACTACATGTCACGCTAACTAGCTCACAACCTGACTTGCAACAAAGTTCACGCTAGCTCGTAAGCACTAAGCTAGTGCACTTATATAGTGCTAGCTGTTAGCTTAGCATTTTGTAAGTGTCGGCAGTTGTCGACCGGGGGGTGGGATGCATTAGAGAAGCGGAGCACTACATCTGTAGCATCTTAGCCAGTGCATCTGTATTGTGCGCTACTAGCTTTGCACTACGTACTTAAGACACAAGTTTTTGCTATTAGCAAAATGCTCTGCTATATTTGGTTTTTGTTTGGCTTGCCGTTGTTGGTGCTTGTTTAATGATCATTTTTTGGTTCAATAGCCATTTTTCCTGCGTATGTCCTAAATAAATTAGGAGATGTTAGCAAATGTCTTTCACCTGAAGCATTTTGTCTTTTCATCTAATTTATTTCTTGGAGTATACCAGAATGCTTAATTTACATGTTAAAAATCACTAAATCTTTTGCTGGGGGGATGTCTGCACTAGGTTTGTCACCTTTTTCATCCCTTGTGAGTTTGCAGGTATGGACTTACAGTAAATCTGAAGCCTTTAAGTCTCTGCTTTTAGCAGATAAATAAAACAACCATAAATTTGATCATTTTAAACACTAAATTCTTCACACTAAAGTCATGCAAGAATCAAATGTATAATTGAATATCTTCTTCTTTTTTATACAGTCCACTGAATGTTTTCTGACTGTTGGAATTCATTTTTCTAGCAGAGATTTTTCAAAGTAGAAACTTAAGCTGTTGACCTTTTCTTCTAACTCTTTGTGCCTTTTCTTTGGATTTCAGCTGCAGAAGAGAGAGCGCTCATGTCGATTTTACGTTCAGGTACTTCTCCCGTTTGCTTGCTTACCCCCTTTGTGCCACCTTTAAAGTCATTGTCATTTTTCACCCTCAAATCTGATGTTTGACCCTTTGAAGCACATGGACATAGATATTGTCAAGAAAGCCTAAATCAAAGGGTCAAACCTCGTGATCACACATCTGGGCACTCTGTATGCTTCATCCCATTGTTTTGCCTGCCTTTTAATCTCATGACAGTTTTTTCTTTAAACCCAAGGATGTGTTAAAAAGTTCACGCATGCATACTTTCTTCAGCAAATGCGGAAGAACCAGATGAAATGACCTCAATCTACTAACAAGTCAATCCCTAACTACTAAGTCAGCCGAAGCCATGGCACGTTATGCTTCCCCTGATGCATAATACATATTTTCCCCAATTTACAAGGTGGTTCTCTTGCTTTGCTCAGCAATTCATCTGCCAGGCTGCAGAGTGAATTTTCTTATCCCAGGGGTGAGATTTAAGTTGTCATCAGACTAATATCTGCCTCATCAAGAAACCTGGAAGGGATTGGCGTCTCCTTTCGTCCATACAGATGGCCTAAATTAATGTACATAAGAGCCAGATGTTGGTTTCTGTGTGCACTTCTCGTGTTAAGCAATATGTATTTGGCTTTAATTCCTTCAAGACATATCAGAAAGTGGTTTGTTGTTTAGATCTGAGTGATTGTGCAGACGTCATCCATGTGACTTGTGTGTTTGTGTCACATTTGGTGGTCTTCAACAAAAGTCGCAGAAAAGACAAATGGTGGAACTGGAAGCAAATATGAAATAAATAAATAAATAAAACTAAAATAAATACTTTTTTTAACATCTGACCATCTTAAAAGACATTATGTACTGACTTTATTAGATCTAAATATGAAATGCATGGACAATATTAGTATTATATTCTTATGACTTAATACCAAACGCAGTAATGGCCTCATCTGCTTTCATTGTTTGACTTTAATAGAAGAAAAAGACATTTGCATTTTTACAGCAAACTATAACTGTGATTTTAAAGACTGTTAGCAAAGTATCTCATGAACCACTGAACAGATTTTACTGAGACTTTTAGAAAGTAATTATTGGTTGTACATCTACACCTGATTGACTTTTAATGTCAACCCAGTTTAAGATTTTATTTCATTTATAGTACGTTTTGTTGAACTGAAACTTTGATGTGAATGTTTTTGATTTGTATTCCTGCCACTGTAACGACCCCCCCCCCCCCCCCCCCCCCCCCCCAAAAAAAAAAAGGAGACCGAAGAGTGAATTACTCAGCTCCCAAGTCGCTTTTTATGGAGCCCACGTCCGTTTATAGTTTCCCCAGCCCCGGAAATGACATTGTCACTAACTTGTTTCACAATAAGTCTCAGAGTTGTCACTAAATATTAATGTATATCATTTTTCTTCAAATATTTAACTGCTTTTATGTAAAATATCATCTTAACAAATGATTACTTTCATTTGGCCCATAACACCACCATCTTAGTAGGACCTTACTGGTAAAATAAAGGAAAAATAAATAAGTAAATAAATGGCCCCCACAGCCAACAGACTTCAGAGATCAAATAACATGGTGATACCTCAGTCTGTTTTACAGACATTGAGCTTGAATTTTAAGGTTCAAGGTTCTTTATTGTCATTCACATCACATGTGATACATGAGGTGGAACAAAATTGTGTACTGAAGGTCCCAGTTACACCTAAAAATAGCAAAAATATGAAGTATAAAAAGAAACAGTGTACAAGGATTTAAGATATATGCTAAACAATAATAATGCAAAATAATATGGTATAACAGCAGCCTGAACATGAGTCTGTTGTGAGCAGATGGGTATGAATACAGCAGCTTATGGGTAAGAAATCAGCAGCATGGATAATCAGCAGCACAGATAAAGTGACATATCACCAATTAAAGTGCTATTTAATTAAAATTACCAAATAAAGTGCCATATTTGATGTGGTACTAGCTGAGATTCATCTGAAATACATATTTTGAGCATTATTTGTTGTGCAAGATCATTGGCTAGATCTTTGGCATAAGTGGTTCAAGTCAACACTGTTTGTCTGTTAGCAAAATATCTCTTGAACCACTGAATGGATTTTAAGTAAATATGATAAAGTTGTCAATAGAAGTGCACCTTAATTCATCTTCAGGATCAATTAATGCCAAGATGGTCACTACAACTAACTGACCTTAGCTAACACAAATAGATTAAACTCAGTTAAGTTTACAGAAATAGACACTAACAATTCAAGTGGTAGTAACTAAGTCATTCACAACACATAATCTGAGCATCAGGCTTCAATTTTCAGCTGTTCTCAACTAAAGAGTATCTTAATTTAAATCACTTTAAAGCTCAGCTTTTAAATATCTACTTGTTTTACTCATAAAACACTCAGAAAATATCTTAATTAAATAAAATTAATTTATTTTTAGTGGCTAGAGAATTATCTTGAATATTCGGGATACAGCATTGCTAAATAAGCTAAAAGCTAAACGAAACAAATCACAAATAAATACATTTCACACAATGTTTTCCTCAAATGTATCTCTTTTCTTGGCACACTGGAGCCATTAGCTGAGTCTATGCCGTGTGGGTTTAGTCAACAATAATAAAGACAACCGCACACACTGCTTAGCTTTGCTAGCTTGACAAATTCAAACAACAGTGGAGTGCTTTGACTTGAATAACCAACATAACGGCACAACATCTGGGGCTGCGGGTAAACACAGGCATCGACTGCTCATGCTGGCTGCCTTTAAAGCATGCGTGTGTGTATGTGTGTGTGGTGGGGGGACTTTCATTGATTAGGGAAAACGGGCCATGTTTTCTCCAACAGGACCCTTGTGGTTGACATAAGTGGGATTAGCAGATGCACCTGCTTCTGCTGTTTCTTTTCGCTCTGAGAACGCACGTGCTGCTGGAAACAGACAGCGATGGGACTGAGGGAAAACTGAGGAGGTTTCAGGTGGCATTATGCTGAGGGAGGGAGGGACATCGTCCAAAATAAAACACGGTTCTTTGGGTTGAACTGGACAAGAACGGCCCCATAAAGACAAAAGCAGGCCAATGATTTTGCTCTTGCCTGTGTGTTTGTTTGTATGTGGTTTGCAAAAAAACGTCATGACCCACTGGATAGATTTTAATGAAACTTTGAGAAAGTCACCACTTGTACATCTGATTGACATTTGGAGTTACACTAGTCCCTCGTTTATCGCGGGGGATCCGTACCCTGAAGCCCTGCGATAAGTGAAAAATCACAAAGTAGGATACAGTAGCCCAAGTTTAAGTTCAAGTACAGTAAACTTTATATTAAGGCTTTAGAAACTCTTCCCACACTCTTGGAATGTTCTAAACTCTTAAACCTACATCATTTTAACAACATATGTTACTAAGTTTTACTTACTAGCACTGCAGAACAGCAGAAGCTCGGTTCTGGTTTTATTCTGGCTCGATTCATTTCTGCAGACCTATCCTGCAGCAATGAAGCCCACAAATCAGTCCTCTAAACTCTTAAACCTACTAATTTTAACAACATACAGTACTTATATATACAGGAGCTACAAAATTTTACTTACAAGGGCTCTGCAGAACAGGAGCGGCTCGGTTCCGTCTGACCCGATAGATGAAAAAAAGTCCTAGTGCAGCATGACTGAAGCCCTCCGCTGCTGCTCCAGGAGAAGGCTGCCCAGGATTTAATCCATCACCTCTGGCCTGGTCTGGACCAGCACCGCTCGACCAGAACCAGACTGAGGCCTACAGCCTCAGGAGCTCCCAGGACCCGGGTCACACTGAGTCCAGATCAACTGAGCCCAGCTACTCAACAGTGAAGTTACAACTTGAAGGATGAGTTCAGCTTCAGGATTATTTGATACTTTCCTCTTGCCAGTTCTGTGAGCTTATTATTGTTACTTCTGGATTTGGTTGCAAAACTTTCCCTCCGTTTGCAGCAAGCAGCGGTTGGAAGCAGTGTTGACTTCTGGGAAGTGAACTGGTGGCTTCTGGGTAACAGTTCTTTAGACTGAAACAGTGAAGGCATAATGAAAGAAAACTACAAAATGGCAGCACATTTTTAATTTTAATTTTTATTTTGGAAAATATTATGTACATGTACAGTACTGCACAATACTTAAACAAACCGCGATAAAGCGAGTCCACGAAAAATGAACCACCACGAAGTAGCGAGGGACTACTGTAATCCAAATCAAGATGGCACCACAATTGACCTTCACCGCACAAGAATTGCTGTAACTTATTCAAATGACACATATTGAGGTAACATTCATATGATTCTAGTGGAGATTCATCCTCAACACATGCTTCAAGTGTTAACACATGGGGATGGCTGAGGCAGCCATCTTGAATTAAAGCTATGCCATGATAGGTGTTAGGCGATGAGCATTCTTTTAAGGATTACCAGATCTTTAATCTTAAAGAGGAACTCTTTGCAGGTATTTTAAACTAAATTCCATCTGAATCCCTCTAAAAGAGTCATATCCACCTCACGTCGGGGCTAATTAAATTCCCCTGAATAGGATTTGGCCTTGATGAGCCAGCAACGTGCACGACGATCAGCTCTTATGTTTCGTGTTTCTCCTGCAGAAACGTTTCTCTGCTTCGCCCTTTTGATTCTGAACAAACATGTTAAAATTTGGCACCCTGCTTCTTTTGCCTTTTTAGTCACATTAATGCCGCCTTGTTTAAAGGCAAAGACATTATGTTCGCCCAATTACTGTGATTATGTCTCTGTGTTGTTCTGAAGTCAAACATGTTCGCTGTTATTTTTTCAAGTAGGGAATGTGGGATTTGTCAGTGCAGAGTACAATGAGCATCGTTGCTTCAGGATATAAAAATATAAAACGATAACATTTTGTGCCTCAGTTGGAGCCAAATAAGTGTGAATTTTCAGGACAGATGGGAGGATATGAAACTCTGACCCTGATGAAAATGACACGTTTGTGTAAAAGACGACCCGAGGGGGGAGTGTTGCAGAGC